GAATATCCTCAGCAGAGCTGAAGACAAAAATAAATAAATATAGGTTATGTGTCATATCTGTGAAACCCAGATGGAGAAGGTGTTGTTTCTAGTATTTTTTTTTTAAAGAATTAAATATTTGTATGCTACCTTTCTGCTTGACAGCAAAACAGACAAAAACAGGGTGGGGATTTCAACCCAGAACAAACCACATAACCAAAAAGGTTGAAAAAAACCCAAGAAAAAACTTGTATATGGTAATACACAAAAAGGCTAAAATAATATTAAATCACAAAAAATTAATTGTAAAGATTTAAAACTGGGTGAAAAATCCATCAATTTTGGTTACACATATGAAGAAGAGATTGGATTTATACCCTGCCTTTCACTTGGAGTCTCAGAGCGGCTTACAAACTCCTTTCCCTTCCCCTCCCCACAACAGACACCCTGTGAGGTAGGCAGGGCTGACAGAACTCTTTTGAGAGCTGCTCTCCCCTAGAGTAAGAAAATCCTTTTAGTAAAATTGCACTTATACCCATGGGGATGTCACAGACTTACAAGCATCTTTCCTATCACTAGGTACAGTTATAAACAAACAAAACACATTTATTCACAGCAAAAAGCCAGCACTCTAATACAGCAGTCGAACTAAATTTGTTAGAATTCATAAAACCACAAGCATAAATGAAATATATAAAATGAAAATATCATATAGCGCATGCAAGTAAACCATGTTACATCCTATAACAAGTTACGTATATTCGCCTTTCACTAGCAGCTTTCTAGTCCTTACAGCTAACCAGCCAAATTTGGCAAGTTTAGTTGTAATCTCAGGGCACCTACTTTCTAGGAGGTTCTTCAGCAGTTGTAGAGAGTGGGAGAATATCATGAAAGTGGCTATATGCCCCGCAGTCATATATAATGTGCATTAAAGTTTCAAGTCTGTCATTGCAACAAGAACATATACAATCAGCCAGGGTTTTTTTTTTAATTAAACCTCCCAGGTAAAGTTATAAATAACATAAAATACATGTAAACCAAATGCATTTCAGCCGTGAGGCCTTTCTCAGTGGTTTAATTTTTTATAATACACACCATACAATGTTTCTGTTAAAATTACAACATGCCTAACCAAAGCACTGAACATCCACATTTAAAAAACTTTTACATGGACTAAGTATCACTCTTTGTTGTTAATCAGGACCCTCGGAGACAGCTTTCCAACTGGTAGATGTTAATGGTCCCGATTTCTCTGTAGGCTGTCCTACGGAGTACAACCACATACAGGAAACCTTTCTGCTTGACAGCAGGCCTCCAAGGTGGCTGACAAATAGATTTAAAATCCAATTAACCTAATGAGATATTGCCAAAACTAAATCAACAACTGAGATTTTAACAGACCAGCCATGTGACAGCAAAAACATAGAATCATAGAATTGGAAGGGACTTCCAGGGTCATCTAGTCTAACCCCCTATACAATGCAGGAAATTCACAAATACCTCCCCCCCCATGCCCTCAGTGACCCCAGCTCTATGCCAGAAAGGGGGGGGGGGCTCTCCAAGGATCCCTGGCCAAGTTGGCCTGGAGAAAATTGCTTCCTCTCCCCAAAGTGGCAATCAGCATTTCCCTGGGCGCGCAAGAAAGGGCCACAAGAACGAAGCACTGAGGCAACCCTCCCTGCCCTCCCTCTCAGGATCTGCCTAAGTTCACAGAATCAGCACTGCTGTCAGATGGCCATCTAGCCTCTGTTTGAAAACCTCCAAAGACGGAGAGCCCACCACCTCGCAAGGAAGCCTGTTCCAATGAGGGACTGCTCTAACTGTCAGGAAGTTTTCCCTAATGTTTAAACATAACAAAAAAAAACTTTTTTGCAAATATGTTCATGGCATAATCCATGGCAAAGAGGAAATGAAGTATATAAACTGAACACAGGAATGAGAGAAGATACTCTCCCATTTCCAAGCACCAGGTGACCTAAGAGGAAGAAACCTGCCCCTTTCTTAAAGCTGTAAGTAGTCTGGTGTCACAGTTCCTCAGGCCAATGGTCCCTCTAGCCCAGCATCCTGCATTATATAGTGACCAAGCAGATGTCCTGGAAAGCACACAGTCCAGAACCCCCACCCCCACCCACCCCGGCACATGTTTCACCTACCTTAACAATTGGGTCCCATTTATCAGCTCTGTGGCCTTTGCCTCTACGACCTCCTTTACTGTACCACTTCCCATCACATTGACTGTGAGACCCTGAGATAGACCCAGAATGTTTTGGTGGACTGTATATACAGCAGCTGGATTACAAAGTTCCCTGCCTCTGCCAGTGTCAACATCTGGCTGTCAGGGTTCCCTCTAAGCTGAGTTAGTGTGAGCCAATGTTCCCTCTAAGCTGTGGAGTCCTGTGAGCAAAAATTTTACTTTGTGAGCTACTGGCATTAAAGTTGTGAGCAGGTGATTTGGTTACTGCATAAATTAGTTTGCTCCGGAGCCCTCCTTCCTGAGCTGAGACAAAAACGTGTGAGCCGGAGGCTAAAAAACGGTGAGCTAGCTCACACTAACTCAGCTTAGAAAGAACACTGGTGTGAGCTAGCTCACAGTTTTTTAGCCCCCGGCTCACACGTTTTTGTCTTGGCTCAGGAAGGAGGGCTCCAGTGCAGACTAATTCATGCAGCAGCCAAATCGCTCGCTCACGACTTTAATGCCAGGAGCTCACAGAGTAGAATTTTTGCTCACAAGACCCCACATCTTAGAGGGAACATTGCTGGCTGTGCAGATGTAATCCAGCAGAAGGGGGCAGCATAGGATTCAAATGCTGTCCCATGGAGCTTGTCACTTTCTATTTCTGCTCCCAACCCATCATTCTCTCTTTCTCCCCCCACCACATCACTATTCTTTTATCTCTTTCTATCCCTATCCCATCACTCTCTCTGCCTCCCCAGCTCCATCACTCTCTTTTTTCTTTTCCCTACCACATCACTCTCTTTCCTCCCCCGCCGCATCGGATCCTCTCCTGCCCCAACCCATCATTCTCTTTCTGCCCCATCTCGTCATTATTCCTTTCTCTCTCATTCTGCCTTCCCAATCCATCATTCTTTTTCTACACACACACAAAACCTTTATTGGCATGAAAGCACAAAACATCATGGAAATACGGGAAAATACTAAGATGCATCAGTTGGCTATTCAAGCCTCGTCTTTCCTAATGCAGACTTTATGCTTAGAAACCAATCAAAGGCTTCTATTGACCAGAGCATGGCTGAGAACAACTCAGTTCTGGCTTAAACTTCATTTCCATGCTAAAGCTAAAAGTATTATTACTCACATGTTAACTGAGTCCCATCCATGGCTTAGATATGTAGAGGAGAAACTCTCTACAATGGGAATATCCCCGGATTATTTAGCCCCCTTTTCAGATAAACAATTATTAAACAAAGATTTCTTGACATCGAAAGGCAAGAATTTAGGGAACGCGCAGCCAGCGGATGCTCCCCAAGCAGGTTGGGGACTTTTGACACGCTGCTGGAACACGTCTGATGCTTACAGCTGACCAAACTCCCTGTCGACTGCGAAGTGTGTGTGATTTAAAATGATATATGTTGTCCTCCCTTACCCCCATCATTGTTAGTCCCGTGTCAACACACGAGTAACTGTAAATCGCTCAGAGCCGGCAGCTCTGCAAAGATTGAGCGATCAATAAATCGAAAGATGATGATGATGATGATGATGATGATGATGATGATGATGATGATGATGATGATGATGATGATGATTTCACCTGTCAAGTTTAACAGCCCCACATCATCGCAAAGCATACATTCTCTTTCTGTTCCGCCCTCTTCTCCTCTTAGTTCTCTTCTTCCCCTGACCCTCACCACTGACAGGTATACTGCGGTTTCTTCCTCCACAGACACTGCTGTCATCGCAGGGCTGCTGTGACTTCCGCACCCCCACCATCATTGGTGTTGGGCTGGGCACGGCTCCCAGCCTCTAGTGCTTGGCCCGCTGTGGTTCACCCTCCCCAATTGCTGCTGCCATCACTGGTGCCATGCGTCTCCCAGCCAGCCCCTCATCAGTGTCAGGCCTGGTGCAGCTCCCACCCTCCCATCACTGTGCCTGCCACAGCTTCTTCCTACCAATCACTGCTGCTTCTGACTACCCCCCTCCCACCATCCTTGCTGCCTGAAGGAGGCATTTATGCAGACAGTGCTTTTGTTCTATGGGGCTAAACTCCCCCAATGTGTTTTTTCTGGGGTGATTTCGTAGGAAAAAAGGTGCAGGAGCTCACTAGCATAATTCATTAGCATATCTTATTATGCCACACCCCCTGGCATCACCGGAAGTGTGTCAGAAGGCAGCACCCACCGCTCAGGCTCCACTGGACTGTTTTGGATTCCTAGCTATGCGGTGGGGAACGACATGCAGATCTGTCCTCACGGAGGAGGGAGAGCTGGTACCTGAATAAACCTTGGTCTTAAAGGTGCCACTGGACTGTTTTGGACTGGGGGGCTCTGCAGCTTACCTGGCTGCTTCTTGCTCTGACTGAGGGCTGCTGGGAGCAGGGGGTGGGGCTTGTTGCATGTGCCCGCCCCCTGGGCTCTTTACTGCCGGAGCTCCGCTCCTGTGCGCTCCTGCAGGAAATGACCCCTGTGTTTTTTAAACTCAAGGGGGGGTGCCCCACGTTTGGAGAAAAATCTCCTTTCTGAATAAGAGGAGATTGGATTTATACCCCACCCTTCACTCAGAGGTAGGTGGGGCTGTCATTGTGGATGCAAATTAGAATATTTAGACCTGCAGATTGGCCCACAAATGGATATTATATATATAGATTATAGATATACGGTATGTAGATAATAGATACTACTTGTTACAAGTGTCTAATGTAAATTTTAAAGACTGTTGAATTGCCTTGCCAACACTGAATTGGGGGTCACATGGTGATACTATAAATGAAAAGTAAAGTTAAAAAATAATCTCTCGATCAAGAATGCATGATAGGTAATAATTAACTTTTTTTTTTTAATCACAGGTATTAAAGCAGTGTTTTCTGGACATTACCATCGGAATGCTGGAGGGTCCTACAAAGATCTTGAGATGGTTGTTTCGTCTGCTATAGGATGCCAGCTGGGAGAAGACACCCATGGTCTGAGGGTGGTGGTTGTCACTGCTGAAAAGATTGTTCACAGATACTACAGTTTAGATAAGCTGAACAATCAAGGGATAGAGAAAGATCTTATGGATTTGCTTAAGCAAAATTAGTCCTTTTCTTCCTGTGTCAAACATATTTGACTAATCCAGTCTAGGCAGGGTAATTCAGATGTGTGCCTCCACCCTGCCTCACCTTTCTGCTTCTGCTGTTTCATATCTTTAGAACTAACCAACCAGTCAGTACCTGTCACCCTAAACACTGATATAGAAAGCCAAGCAGTGAGAGTTTAGCTGCACTTCTACAGTGTGTATAAATCTTCAGTTGTACAATAAAAGTAATGACAATGCTATTGATTTTGTAATTAAAAGAAATTTTAAGACTGTCCCATCCTTGGACTGGGTAGCTTTTATAGTAGAGTAAACGGATTCATGAATGAAGATGGAAGGTTCTGCATGGATGACAACTCAAGATACGAAAAGTTATAGGGACCCAAGAATGATATTTAATGATATAGTAGTTTGCCACCTAATTCAAAGCCAATACTGGATATGCCAAACAGCCTCCTGGATTTCCTGGGGGCTTGCATCCCATGGCTTTTGAATAGCTGAGCTTGAATTGGTGCAAGAGGCAAAGTGTGTGTCTGCTTGTGTGTGTTTGCAAGTGACTCCAACTCAAGATGGGGGAACAGGATATAGTAGGTGTCTCAGAAGCATAGCAGAATAGGGGAAATCAATGGAATGTGGTCATCCCCTGTATAAGCTCTGTAGCCAGGACATGAAGGGAGATGTGTTGTATATCAAAGAGGACATAGAATCAAATAACTTAGAAAATATTAGGGGAATGAACTTCCCAACAGAAGCAATATGGGCCATAAGGGTTACTTATCAGAGGGGTAGTACTATCAGCCACCTGATCAAACATTAGAGGCTGATCTTGAGATGGAGAAGGAAATAAAGGAGGTGACAAAACAGTTAAGATCCTGGACTCTAAACTCAAACATGGCAAACTGTTTTATCTACTTGAATGGTTGGAATTTGGACCCCAGCACCGTGAATGGGTGGAAGTAGGGGATATTTGGGCCCCTAAGCTCTTGCGTGACTTTCACCGGAGACTCCCGGAGAAACCGGGAAGTCTCCCGGAATGACCGGGATGTCTCCCAGACTGGGCAGGAGGTTGCTCTTTGGGTGGGCAGAATGTCAGCTATGCTGCCATAAGGTTAAGGGGCCCCTCCTGGACCCCCTCCCTGTCCTGTGTACCAGCCTGAGTTGCATTCCTTTCCCTGCGCTTCTCCTCTCCTTATCTCTGACCTTGTAGGCTGCAGATGTAGTGTCTCCACATAACTCATCCGTGAGACTGCTTTCGGTTCCCAGCTTTTAGTGCTAACGGCCCAGGTACTTGTTCCCGCTTGCGGGAGTCAGGCCGATTGGCCCGTAGTGGGGGGAGGGTTGCTTTTGAATCTACTATATCACTCCCTGAGTCTAGGGGTTCCTTATTCCTAACAGTGACTATGCTCATGCTACCATTGTACTGGCAATAAAAGTATAACCTTTGAAGAAGCGTGTACTCAGTTGCTTGACTGTGGGTCCTGACACTTTCTTCATCCCAAGAGAGCGAATGGCATTATCACTCTCATCGGCCTAGTGAAGAAACAGGGAGATGCATCAGCAAAACAGATTCAACGACTCCTAGGGCCTTGTCTTCGCCAGCGGTACTTGTCTTCGCCAGACTACGGATGAGACCATTTCAGCTGTGGTTTCTCAAGAGGTTCCATCCACAATGGCAGCCTCAATCTCAATGGTTTGTATTCCCTGCACAAGTGCTGGCTTCCCTGAAGTGGTGAGAAACTCCAGGCAACCTTCTTCAGGGAGCCCCATATCATACACCCAGCCCCAAAATGACCCTCACCATGGATGCATCCCTATGGGGATGGGGAGCCCAGAAGCACATCAACTTTTTGGAACTGTTGGCCATCCAATATGCCCTCAGATCTTTTCGCCACCTCATGGCTCACCACACGGTAGCAGTCCTAACCGACAACACTACTGCCTTGTGCTACCTGAATCGGCAAGGGGGAACAGTGTCCAGGGAACTCTGCTGACTAGCCTTGGAGATTTGGGCCAAATGCCAATCATGGGGCGTGTTCCTCCTCGCGGCTCACCTGCCCGGGTCACTCAACATGCAAGCAGACTTTCTGAGCAGGGGAGGAGCATCCCTTCACGTGTAGGAACTCAACTGGGAGTATCTCCAACCAGTTTTCGACAGATGGGGTCACCCAGAAATAGATGTGTTTGCAACGCGTCAAAATGCAAAATGTCACCTGTTCTGTACCAGGGCGGGACGGGACCCTCTATCTCTGGGAGATGGTCTCCTTTACCCTTGGTCCCACAGGCACGTGTACCTGTCCCCACCAATCCCTCTGCTTACCAAAGTGCTGAGCAAGATCATGAAAGAGCAACCCCGGTGCATCCTCATGACCCCATGGTGGCCGCTACTCCGCATGTCCCAAGGTTCCTTCGTGCACCTTCCTCCAGCACCAGATCTCCTCCTGGCTCAGGGGGGTCAAGTGCTCCACCACGATGTTCCACACCTCAAACTCACGGCGTGGAGGATCCCCTAGCACAGCTTAAAAGCAGGATAGATCATGTTCTATTGAACTGTCGCAAACCGGCTACACGGGCTTCCTATGATGGGAAATGAAAGATATTTTTAACTTACCTTGAGTCGTTAGGTTTACCTCTGCCTCCTACGACCTTGGTCGCAGTTTTTGGATTCATATTGTCCCGCTTAGACTTGGGTCTTAGTTGTGCCTCATTGAAAGTTTACCTGGCCGCGATCTTCGCTAATCATCCTATGGTGGATGGCTATTCTGTTTTTTCTCACCCACAAACGAAACAGTTCCTGAAGTTCCTTGCTCACCTCTTCCCTCCAGTTCGTGGCCCTACCACCTCCTGGGACTTACCTTTAGTGCTGTCCAAGCTGATGGGCAGACCATTTGATCCCATGGCCACGTCTAGTCTACATCTTCTCTCATGGAAGACTGCCTTTTTGGTAGCTATTACCTCAGCAAGATGAGTGAGCGAGTTGTCTGCACTCCATTGCAATTCACCATACTTAGTTTTTCATCATGATGGTGTCACCTTGGCCCCGGATGTCTCTTTCCTGCCCAAGGTTGTTTCTGAGTTCCATTTGCAAGCTGACATTGTTCTTCCAGCATTCTTCCTGTCCCCTGCGAGTGACGAAGAACGTAATCTTCACACATTGGATGTAAAAAGAGCCCTACTGTTCTACCTAGATAGGACAAGGCCCTTCTGGCAGTCACCAGCCTTGTTTGTCTCCTATAACACGCCTTTGCGAAGCAGGAAGCTCTCTTCGCAGTGTCTATCCAAGTGGATTGTGGAGACAATTAAACTGTGCTACTTGCTGGCCAAAAGACCACTTCCGGCTCCGCTCCGAGCACATTCTACCCGGGCAGTAGCTACGTCTACAGTCTTCCTGAGAGGTTCGTCTCTCAGTGACATTTGTCGAGCTGCAACCTGGGCTACTTCTCACCCGTTTGTGAAGCATTATGCCCTGGATGTGCGTCTTCATCAGCGTTCTGCTGTGGGACGGACAGTGTTACAGGCAGCGCAAATCTAGGACCTTCAGCTCCCTCCTCCAGGTAGGCTTGTTTTTTTTGCTTTTTAATCTCCCAGAGGTGTGATGCACAGAGACCATGAAGAAGATAGACAGGTTGCTTACCTGTAACTGGTGATCTTCAAGTGGTCATCTGTGCAGTCACACCACCCGCCCTCCTTCCCCTCTGCTTTCGGTCCTTTTGTTCTTTGCTCTGAGACTGATGGCAGCGGTCAGAAGGAACTGGCGGGATTGTCGTGCCCCTCCCCTATTCATGCACAGTGGGGCCAGCGCATGACTGGGGAGCGGGTGCAAAAATCCCTTTCGCTTTCTAATAAATACTGATCGAGGTTGGCGCAGGCACACTATAGCCCAGAGGTGTGAATGCACAGATGACCACTCGAAGATCACCAGTTACAGGTAAGCAACCTGTCTATCTTGACAGACTAGAAAATTGGGCTAAAACTGTGAATTTCAATAGAGATAAATGTAAAGTTCTGCATTTAGGATGGAAAAATCAAATGCATTATAGGATGGGGAAGACTTGTCTTGGTAATAGCACATGCAAAATGCATCTAGGGATCTTAGTAGACTATACACTAAACATGAGTCAGCGATGTGATGTGGTAGCTAAAAAGGTAAATGTGATTTTGGGCTGCATCCACAGAAGAACAGTGCTCAGATCATGGGAAGTGATGTTTGGACTTCACTGGGAGCATTGTGTTCACTTTGAGGCATTGCAGTTTAAGAAGGATGTTGACAAGCTGGAACATGTCCAGTGGAGGGCAACAAAGATGGTAGAGATCTGGAGACCAAGTCCTATGAGGAAAGGTTGAAGGAGCTGGGTATGTTTAGCTTGGAGAGGAGATGACTGAGAGATTATATTATAGCCACCTTCAAGTGTTTGAATGGCTGTCATATAAAGGATGGAGCAAAGTTGCTTTTTGTTGCCCCAGAAGGTTGGGCCAGCACCAGCAGATTGAATTTAAAAGAGCCTTTGGCTAAACATTAGGAAAAACTTCATGACAGAGCGGTTTCTCAGTGGAAGAGGCTTCCTAAGGAGGTGGTGGGCTCTCCTCCTTTGGGGGGTTTTAAGCAGAGGCTAGATGGCCATCTGACAGCAATGTTGATTCTATGACTCACTATGACTTTAGGAATTTAGGCGGATTGTGAGGGAGAGCAGGAAGGGATGAGCCAGTGCAATTCTTATGGCCCTTTCGTACATGCTCACGGTAATGCCAACTGCCATGTTCTGGTCAAGAAGTTATTTTCCTCTGGGCTAGATTGGCTCAGGGATCCTGGAGGATTTTTTCCCTCCTCTGGGGTCAGTTGGGGTGGGGGGGGGGGGACTGAATTTCCTGCATTGTGCCAAGGGGGTTGGACTAGATGACCCTTGGGTCCCTTCCAGCTCTGTGTTTCTATATTTGCCCTACCGACCCTTTGGGGTTTTGAGAAAATGAACACAGGTGGTCCAGTAGTCCATTATATGCTTGGACTTTCAAAATACTTTTTGTCAAGGCACATCCCCAAAGACTCCTGAGTAAGTCATGGGATAAGAGGACATGTCGTCTTATGGATTCAAAACTGGTTAAATGAGAGGTAGCACAGAGAAGGAGTAAATGGGCAGTTCTCTCAGTTGAGGGAAGTAAGCAGTTGCTGACCATTGCTATTTAATTTGTTCATAAATGATCTGGAATGACTGCAAGTGGGTGCCCTATCAGGCTTCATGAAAGGAGTGGAATCTCCTTTTGGGCTTACCTTCATTCTTAAGTGAGGGAAGAATCTCCTTTTTGTCCTTATCCTCCACCAGGTAGTTCTTTTTTTTATTTTGTAAAACAACAGTGAACATACAATCATTTAACATTTAAATAACATAGAACAAGGCTTAACCATAAGGTGTCAGTTAAAAACTGCTAATTAGGTTACATACGATGAAAAACTTCATAATACTTTGAAGGAACAGTAAATTTGGAAGGATCAGTATTGAATATGAATTCTAAGAAAGGAAACCATTTCGTATAGAGATTGGATTTCTTATAAAAAACATTGTTTGCGGCTGTTACATCAGACAATTTATCCATGATATAGTAATCCCATATTTTCAAACGCCATGAGGAAAGTGACGGCTTGTTAGGGGACTTCCAGCTACTTGCTATAACCACTTTAGCTGCTGTTAGTAGAATTGAGATGAGTTCACCAGGTAGTACTTGATGGCATCACCAAACGGGTTGACTCCAGTGTTCCCTCTAAGCTGAGTTAGTGTGAGTTTTTTAGTCTCCGGCTCACACATTTTTGTCTTGGCTCAGGAAGGGTTCCCTCTAAGCTGAGTTAGGGTGAGCTAGCTCACAGTTTTTTTAGCCTTCGGCTCACACATTTTTGTCTCAGGAAGGATGGCTCCAGAGCAAACTAATTGATGGAGTAGCCAAATGACTCGCTCACAACTTTAATGCCAGTAGCTCACAAAGTAGAATTTTTGCTCACAGGACTCCACAGCTTAGAGGGAGCATTGGTTGACTCCATGGACTGGGACACTAACCACTCAGGTCTGTGATATAAGGTCTATACCCCAGGAGCAGAGCCAAGTGTTGCACTGGGTGGTTATAGTCAGCACCATTGCTCTGGCCAACATTTGAAAGGCGTCCAGAGACACACTGGCTGAGAAGCAGCAGCTAGGGGATGTCTTTTTTGCTCCTGAGCGCTCAGATGCCCAATAAGTAGATCGCTCTGGGAAACCAGGAGTCCACCGTCAAGGCCTGGAGTGTGGTTGCTGAGGCCTCAAAGTGTTTG